TCACGACCTTCGGTGGCATAGTTGTTATATGGCATAAAGATGCATCAGCCAAAAAAAGAAGAGAGAATAAATAGTCTTTTTTTGTTAATAAAGACTAAAAGTTTTTCTATGTAAGAAGTACTTACAAGCTGGACCTTCTAAAATGCGTTAGAGGTGAAAAACCCGTACTTTTGAAGGTTAGCAGTAGTCACAAGCAGCCTTACGTCACGAGTCTGGTCAGACAATCAACCAAATGCTTGAATACAGCTGGATCAACTATTGTTGACATTTGGTCATTTTGTTTCCTGCAAGAAAGCAAAGTGTTCGTTAGCCTAATATATTAGGGAAGAGTCAAAGTTAAAGATGAGCATCTGGGAATTAGAAGGAACCTACTCGCTCCTTAAAATTACAGACTACATCGTACTTGAAGAAAAATAATTGGTTTCATAAGCCCCATGTTGCTGTGGTAACCAAATATCCCTCCTTCGATCGTTGATCGTTCGGAGAGGTAGTACGAATCTTATCTTTACTCCTCTTTAAGTAATAGGCACAGCCGAGTTCCTCCGTTGTTGGCTCGCTGAGATTGTGTTCGCCAAATACGATATACATAGCAACTGCTATCATATATCAAAGATTCAGCATGCATGAAGAGTGGTGGAGATGGAGAATGAAAGCATGAAAGCATGGATTAAAAAAACGGTTTACATGCAAAGCTTGGATATGAGATTATACCCTCCTTTGCTTTGGATTGATGAAGATTAGCTTCAAAAGGATGAAACCTCCACACTTTAACACCACCTTGAGAGGATTAGAGAGTGGTCTTGGCTAGGGAGAGAGAGCTTTTAGTTTGTGTTTGAGTGAACAAGTGAATAATGAACAAAAATGCAACCTTTGCACTTATATATACTTGGGCTATTTTGCAATTTTTATTTTTCACTTCCAAGCCCAATAAATCTTATTTTAAAGGGACCCCACGAATTTAATAGCTACCCTTTGAATATCATATTATTCAAGGGCCCATGTAAACTAAACTAGTTTACATTAACAACCCATAAATTACCCTTTTTTTACCCTTCAACTATTAAAAGGTTATTTTTGTTCATCTCATTAATCTTACACTTTAAGATATAATATTAAATATAATTAATTATTGCTTGACCATTTTAACCCTTAAAATGTCACAAATTGTTTTCTATGTAACTATTACTATAGAAATCTCGTTATTAACCTCAGAAGGTCAGCCCTCTTCGGATAATCATTTCTCTCTCTCATCATTCTCTAACTTCCAAGGCTATTGGTGTGACCATGTAGGTCCACCGTGGATTAGCCGTGAGCCGGTTCTGGATGAATTTGGAAACCCGTCCGGAGGCCCAACGACTATGGTAAACATCTAGCAATGTGCCATAGTCCCTAAACCACGATGAAGAAATACTTCATCGAACCCATTTCAGATCATACGTACCATGCAGGTAAATCCCTCCATTGAGATATCCTAATCGAGTATGGATTCATGGAACGTCAAAATCCTAAACTTGATCTTCTACCGAATCGTCGATCAATATGTTCGGAACTCGTCATCACAAACTTGCTTTTGTATGACTAATAATAGACTCTGGCCAGAGATTCAATTTTCTGACATTTATCGATGTTCGTCTAGGAACTCGAATCCGATGGAGTCAGCGGTACTCCCGATCCTAATTTCTGAGTCAATGGATCCCCTCTTGACCATCGTTCGTTCCGCATATAACAACGCATGACCAAATAGGCTTTATTGTACGAAACATGATTAGTCTCGTACTTATACACCGTATGAACCATACGCATCCATATCGGATCCGACTACAATGTCTCAGGTCAAAGGACTACATCGTGCACTGATATACCAAACGATAAAACATTGACTACATGCATTTCCAAGTGATTTGTCGTTATTCGGTCACATTCGAAAAACAGTTCACCAACCGTTAATCCATACCAATGCCCCAGTGACATGACTATCATCGTCATCCGTACTTATATCAACTCATGATATCTTTCGAAGCATCCGGTATGCCTACTGTGCAATATAGTTGCCCAAATTTATATTGCTTCCGTAGGGAACTCTTTTCGATAATTCATTTACCTATTAAATGAATCATCTGGACAATTCATATACATACTTTATTTTAAATGCATGACTGAATAAAGGAAGCAATTTACAATATGAATTGAAGAACTCTTTATTCTATTATTTATGATATATATAGATACAAGACAAATGCTCTGAAACCGACAACACGAATGGTTTCTAGGGCATACACTAAATACACTAACAATATATGCATATGGCGTCAATTGGAATGGCGCAATCTCGAAGTGGTTGAGAATCGAATTGATATAGGGGTGAAGAGGTATCTTCATCCATATTTAAAGATCGCCTCCGAGATCGCTGCCAATCCCTCGAGAATCTTGAGCAATGTGTGACTTGTGTTGGAAGACATTTACATTGATCGTGTATTGGTTAATCACTTTTTCTATTTCGTCCTCAAATTGTTGATTGTATCACCTTTTGGGAACTGCCGAGGTGCTCGGTGGTTACGAGCTTCCCTCTCCGCTGTTCTTGCCTTAGGGACGTCCATCGCTCTTAGAGTCTGTAAAGGGGCGACATGTAGGGGTTACTCAAACTCCGCATAAGTACCTTGTACGACAACTTAGAAGAGTAAAATAACCCTGGTTTCTCATCCGTAGCTGCTAAAACCCTAAAAACTCTTAAGGAAATTTTTCTAAAGATTTATGCCCTAGGTTTCGACTATTAAAATGTTTATTTTCAAACACTACCCAAGAAGTTCATCATCTAAGCTTACCAGGCGTTCAATACCCTTCATTACTATAAAAAACTAAGTTTTTGACAGGAATGAAAAGAGAAAAAAAGAAGAAGTTTCTTTACCTCTTGATTGCTAGGAATGGATGTCCTGTCGTAGCGTTGATTGTGGGAAGAGGATGAACTAATCTCTTAAGTGCAAAAAAGCTGTTTTTTCTCTAAAAGTTTGAGTTATGTGGAAGAACTTGGAATGAGCTTTGGGTTTTATATGGTGGAAGACGACGCTTGGTTTCTTTTATAAGCGACGTTTGGGTGGGAACGCGTTTCCAGCCATTGATTATGACCATGTGTCATTAATCTAGTGAAGAGTAACTTTCATGCTTCGTGAAGATCAATCGGCGTTTATCTTTATTGAAATCGCCAAACGTCGACGTGATTATCTCCTCCACATTAAATACGCCATCATCCGCATTTAATGCTTCAAAAGGGACTGTTATTTCAGCATGGCTTGCATTTAATGCTCATGACTGACACTTATTACGTCGAGAAACATCTGTAGATAAAACTTATTTTATGACCAAGACAGCTGTCAAGCGCAACTGATAACATCTGAGGAGGTCGTTCTAATAAAACATCTTTTCCTCATGTCGAATTCGAACACCGAGAAAAATGATTCTCAATTTTCAACAACAAGTTTCTAAGTGTTTTTAGGTTGTGAATGATGGGTAGAATGAAACGCATTTTCATAACACTGATCATGATCGAATCAGGTCACTGGACCTTTGTGAAACGATCACGTCATGTGCTTGTGTAGTTCTTGAAAACTAATGTTACGATCTCACTCAGTTCGCTGGTCAAGTCAAGCTTTCAACCCCATGTCGTTTGTAACAATGTGGCTCAAGACAAATCAGGTTGCGACATAATATGAAGTTTTAAGATTCAATTCTTGAACCTTAAGAATTGGGGAGCTTTTGTTGTGCCTAAAAAACAAGGCTGAGTTAGCCTATATCAGCGAGTACTAATTAGAGTTCAAGAAGGTTTGCGCCGCCTAGGAGCTGCCAAGTCCTCCATGACAGAAAGAATATGGCTGTCATCAACTTAGTATTTCAGGTTTTTTATGAGTGATTGAGGGCCGCACACCTGTCCAAGCCCTAGGTATTTAAGGATATTCCTAAGTTATCAGCCAATAGGAGGCAAGGAATGACTTGCACGCACCTACCCACTTGCGATTTGTGATTATTACCTTGAATTCCTCTACTATAAATAGAAGACTCCCCCTCTCATTTTCGGGATTTTGATACTGAACTGCTCTCTAATTGTAATCTTTATTTTCATAGCAAAGATAACCTACGGAGAAGAGATTGACTATATTCTTTCTGAATACTCACTGTTGTACCTCGCTCGTTGTTCGCTATACGCGACTCTTGTGATCTCTCATATATAAAAGAAACAGTGAAAGTGAGATTCTCTTAGGCATTGAACCACTTTAAAAATCATATCTCTCATTATTATCAGTTCTTTGTATCTGATCATACTCATTCACGTGTAATTTTTAAAAGCAGTTTAACACTTTGCACGTGCAAGTCGTTGGTGTCAAAATCAAGCATCAACACAATCAAAGGGAATAAATGTTATATATATATGCTTCACATTGAATTGATATAGAAATAAACATTCAAGATTTGAGATGTAATATATTTCGTAATAACCACCCGGTGATCTAATGATAAAATAACAAAAGAATATTTTTAAGCACTTTGAGTTGAGTCTCTCCGAACATTAGTAGGGATGATCATTAGGGTTCAAACCTAATCAATAATTCAAGGTCTCGGAGTATTAATTGAAGTACATGCCAAGAACTCCTGATGATACATTTTTTTCATATTATACATATAACATGATTCTATACAACTAACTTCAACTAATTTCATTTTAAAATGTTAAAAATAAAATAATTTTTTTTTATATTTATAATGACGACAACATTATATGTCTCAAATCTTATATCAAATTTATTTTAATTAATGTGTTTTTCCAAATAATAATCTTATAAGTAAATCGAATAAAAAATGTTGCTATATATTGATAAATTATTTATTTGTTTAAAAAATTAAATAAACAGGTGTAAATAATAATAATGATAAAAAAAAAAAAAAAAATTTATAGTAATTCTCATACCTCCGAGGTCAGGTGAGAAATATTAAGGCAACAAGAGGGAAAAGAACAAAACAAGGTCGGTTACAAAGCACACATCCACCGTGGCGCTCTCTCTGTAATTCTTCCAAACTCTTTCAGTTTCAACTCTCTAATCGAACAGCCGGAGGAGCTTAAACTCTTTTATGCTCCCCGCTTTCTATTTCCAATTCTACTTCTAGGTATACTCTCTATTTCCTTTTCTTTCGTGAAATTTAAATCTTATTTTTTCGTTTCTCGGGTGTTGGTTTTTTTTTTTTTTTTTTTTCGTTTCTGAGCAAGACTTTATCTTTAACTTTTATTTGAGCTGATTATTTGATTTTTTATACTTCTTTAAGGTTGTAATTACTTGATTAGGAGTTGTCGAATTTCGGTTTAAGGTTATAAATTTGGGGATTTTCATTTTTTTTTTTTTAGGTTTAACTCCATCAATTGGTATGAGTTCGTTTTTTCAAGAACGTTATGACGGCATTATGTTAGTTTAGGCTACTTGACTTTGCTTTTACTCTAATTATATTAGTGTATTATATTAGATCATGTTGGTTCCCCACATTTTCTGTTTTGGAATTTACACGAATTTAATTGAGAGCTTTAAGGTATATTCGGTTCAATTACGCGTGTCTCTGTAAGGGAGGTGTTACTGTTTTTCATTTTGTTGTTTATGGGATGGAATTGATGATTAACTTGCTGGTTGTTTTGTTTACTTAAAGAGTGAGAAAAGTGGAAGAGCTGTAATATTTTTGAGACATCTACGTGTTGAATCGGTATTAGTGTGTTAATGGGGAGAAACAGGACTAAAACATTGAATTGTCTGTCTTTGCCTCTTTTGACGATTTCCTCATGTTTTTTGATAATTGTATATGTCGTGGCTTGCAATGGCAGTAGAATAAGTTATTGTTGGGGAAAGTGAAATTTCAGAAGTCGATAGGTAAATGCCTCTTAAGATTGATGTTTCCATTATTTTGTAGTGAAATAGTAAGCTTATTGTCTCTCCATGCCCGCCTGTGTCTTTAGACATGATCATTCATTATGACTTTCAGTTGTCTTTAGAACAGTCAATTAGTTTTATTGATTATGGAGGTGGGGAGGACTGCAAACTTTGTAATTATACGTTGTAGAGTTTATACTTGAAATGGATGAAAATCTCATTTAGATGGTTTTAAATGGTAAGTTGGCCTATCAATAGATTGATGTCGATTTGGTTCCAATCGGCGTCTGATCCAATCAGTAAGATATGATAAAGCATTTATGATTAGCTGTATTCCTATTTGTTGGTTAATAAATAATAAAACCATTATTGGTCATATGTAATATATACACAATTTTGAATAGGTTTTTGCGGAATGGAGCGGAGCTAGATTGATATTATCGATTAATCAACAAGTTAGCATACGACAGAGGTACATGTTATCTATAATGATTATCATGGTTTCTCTTGCATACCTGTAATTGTTCAATTTTTGTTGGGTTGCCTACTACAAGTCGTGCTCTTTACACTGTGCAAGTATCTTATAGTGTTTGGTGTTGTGGTTTCAAAATTAGTATCAACTTCATTGAGCCAAAGGATGGTTTCACACTTTCTGATGTGGTTTTATTGTATGTAAAATATGGACTTCTTGAAGTTATTTGATTATAGTGTCTTTTTGGTGCTCAGTTGGACCTGTAGATTATGGATTAGGTGTTTTAATCCTTAAGGATTTGGGCTCAACTGGGTCTGGAATTACAGCTATACAAAATTTTGGTTGGATTATAGGCTTTTGCTTGGCATGCCTTTTTTTATTATAAAACTTGATGTTAAAAATTCAATTACCTTCCTTCTATGCATCTTCTTACAACTGTACAAATGCATAATGTGTCTAAATAAGCTTGTTGTCTTGTTTTTACTGCTATGGTGGAGAAGTATTTTTATTGGGCTGTCGGCAAGACGTTATTTCAGGAATACAACATTTTTCTCATGTCTGTGATGCATCAAGTTGCTATTTTGTTGTTCTGATTGCTCCCTTGGGGAATTTCCTTGTTTGAGAACTACTTTCTTCCTTGTTATACTTTGCTGCACTCATGTTAGAGTACTAAGTATTTGTTGCAATTACCATTTGATCATATTCTTACATGTATGTCATGAATCTCATTTCTTCCATCTTTTTCTTCTGATGCAACGTCATATGATAGTACTCGACTTATTTCTTATCATATCATTTCCTTTTGTGTATTTCATTTATTTTATAATGCTAGTTTAGGGATCACCAACTTGATAGAAATAGTTGTTGGTTTTGTAGTGATTTGCTGAGGTCCACTACATGGCTGAAATGGCCAATAATGCTCAATATTCTGGTGTACAGGTAGTGTGTTAAGATGGATCCTTATAATTCTAATAAGCATTCAACCTATCTGCTTGCAATTTGTTTTGCATGACAATTTTAAAGCTTATATTTCTGAGGTCAATCCTGTAAGATTAAGATATTATGCTTTATTCCGTAGATATGTTCCTAAAACAATAACTGAATGGTGACCTTTTAAACTTAAACTTGAAACTAGTAATATATTTTTTATCATCTTTAATTTTTGTCACAATCAAGTTATAATTCAGAGGATATGTGTACAAAATGTTTCATGAACTTCAGATATGGACCATCTGTGCAAAATTTTCCATCCCCAGCATTTTAGGATTAGGATCTATAAAATGTTAAGGTTGCTAATTCTTTGCAACTATATTTATCAATGGAGTTGAAGAGATTTTACTCTGGAAACAAGTTTAAGAAAATCATTTATCTTCTCTTTCTCTCTTTCTTTCTTTCTTTCTGTTTTTTTTTTTTTTTTAATAATAATTAGATGATCATTGACGTTCTATGATATTGTTATCTATCTTATTAATTGCTATATAATGTGTAATATAGCTTTTAGTTATGTATAAAGTTGTAGAATTTGTCTCTAGCTAATTTGTTTTCTTTGCCCTGGAAGATGCCTCATCAACCTCCAATAGCTGGTTCTATGGATCCTCCTCGAGGTTTTGTTCCACCCATGCCACTTCAGGTAATGCTTCTCTTTTACCTGAGTGTGTTAAAACCATTCAACGTTAATTGACATAAACCTAGAGAACCTTTTCAATCAGTTAGGATCATTGTGTTGTTGTTGTTGTTATTATGCAGTTCCGGCCTTTGGTTCCAGCACCGCAGCCACAACACTTTATGCCAGTGGCTTCTCAGCAGTTTCAGCCTGTTGGACAAAGTGTTCCTGTAATGAATGCTGGATTGCCATCTCAAATTCCACAGCCTCAGTTTCCGCCATTGATGCAACAGCTACCAGCAAGACCTGGCCCACCAGCGCCTAGCCATCTTCCACCGCCACCACAGGCAATATCATTGCCAAATTCACAGCCAGGTCACATCACAGCTGCATCATCACTACCCCAGCCTAATGTGCAAGGTCCCAGTCTCTACCCACCTGGTTTGGGTGTCCTGGGAAGACCTCTCTCTGCATCATATACTGTAAGACAATTAATTAAGAGTGTGCTCACAGTCAACTGTTCTGATTTACTTCAGTCTTATGTCCTTACTTCATTTAATTGTTTCTTTCCAGTTTGCACCATCTTCATATGGTCAACCTCAAATGACTGCTAATGCTAGTGCTGGGACTCAGTATCAGCCTCAGTCTCAAATGCATACTCCAAGTACTCCTGCTGGAGGACAAACAGGTGCATCTGGTAGCCAGAGCAGTGTTTCTGTTGCACCTCTGCAGCAAGCTCGTGAACAACCTGTTGTTACCGCTGCCCCAGTACTGGTCAGAACCTTCTTTTTCCTAAAAAATTGTGTCTCCCTTTCATGTTCTATGCTTATTATATGCCTACTACATTAAATGCCATTTGCACAAATCTCATGAAGTTGTCTGCTATTAAAAAAAATTTTCAGGCATCTACTGTTCAACCTAAGCCTACTGAAGGAGCCCCAACAGATTGGATAGAGCATTCTTCTGCTGATGGGAGAAGGTATTTTATTAATAGTTGTGGCTGATCTAAGTTGTACTTTTCTTTGTATGGTGGGTTGTGTTGTTTTAACCTTATGGTGATAGCAAAAATTACAATAAACTGTGTCTGACCTTGAAGAAGATCAAAAGATTTTTTAGTTAATTTTAAGAGTTCATTGCATTAGAATATGAACACCTCTTCAGTGTGTGGTTAGTACTCAATGCTATAACTAGCTAAGTCTCCATTATGAATTAGCTTCTTTACTTGTTGCATTAAATAAATAGTGTCATTGGAAATTTGTAGTCCTGCCAATTTGAGGATTTCATCAAATTTTGAAGTCTTGTTTTGATGCTCTGGCATTATTTTTTGGGTAAAAATTTTAGAATATTTAAACAGTAATGAAAGAGATGAATATGGATTCCTCTGGGATTTCCTTTTATTTCTATGTTTTTTTTTTTTTTTTTTTTTTTTGGGGTCTTTAGGCATATTTCCTAATGCCACTAAAACATGGAGGAGAAAATGTAAAGAACAGTAATATATATTCCCTGGTGATGCTGCAAATTAGTTCATCATTAGCATCTTTGGTCAGTGGTTGCAATTTCACAGTTGTCATTATTATATGTTCACTGTTGCAATAGCGGAATGTAAATTTAGCAAAAATCTTCATCCTTGTTGGATGCTATTTAATTTATAATAGAGTAGTTAGCTGGTGTTTTTAGGATAAGGGATGATTTCTGTTGACCTCATTTGAGGACCTGTGGTTTGGTTAATACACTGGCAGATTCCAGGGGTTCCAAATTCTTCAAATACTTTTCCTGACATTCTAAAATCATCCTGACTCTCATTTAAATTTGTCAGAAACCTTATTTGGAGTTTCATAAATTTTGTCAGAAACCATCTCTACAAGTGTGGAAATCAATGAAGAACAAAATTAGTGGACTCTACTTGTATTTTAAGCAAACCTTAGAGAAGGTTGAAGTCTATCCTTGGACATGTCCACTCTCTCGAATACCAGTTTATTTTAACTACAACAGCATCTACTTTATGTTTTTTCTGATGCATAATTCACATTTTGAATTCATTTTCTTTTTTGTTTATTGAACATACTTCTGTATTTCATGTAGATATTACTTCAACAAGAGGACAAGACAATCTACTTGGGAGAAGCCTTTTGAATTGATGACACCTATTGAGGTGAGTACACCATTAATATTGCCTTTACTAAAAGTTCTTGTTGGTGGGCACATTACACTAGCGTATAGTTTATTTTGGGGACCATGTATTTTATTTTTCACTTGCTTGCCATACATTTAAGTTCCTTCTTATATTGGAATATTGGATGCTTACTCGTTGCTTGTCACATTAACAAAACTTGCTCCAGAATTCTTCTTCTAAAAGCAAAGTTTTCTTTTCTCATAAAGTTGGTTGTTTGGATATTTTGATTTGAAATGGCCAAGCTAACCATTTGCTCTCCTGGACAAGTGGTTTGCTTTTCTCCCAGTGTTCTCTGTTCTAATGTCTGAAAGAAATCTTGTTTCATATAATTTTGGCCAGACTCTGTCCTGGGAAGCTGACACAAGCTTTTGATGGAGAGTTTTTACCTTTTCTATTCTTCTTTTGGTTATTTATTGGAGGAATCATTTTTATTGCATATGGTTTTCTGTTCATTTTTATGTTTCTTCAATTGTTTAAAAGGTTTAAGGTTTTTTCTTCTGTTTCATTAAAAAAATTGTTAAAAGACGTGTTGTCTTTTTGCCTCTTGTTTGTGGTTCTCCTTCTGTGTGCGTGAGGAATGTTTCTTTATCTATTATTATGTTATTTAATTATCATTCTTTCTTTCATAAAATCTGTTTAAATGATTGGTATACCAATAAAATGGATTGTTTTGACATCACAAAAGAATCTTTCTGTGACAGTTCATATCATAATCTCTTAAAGACTTGTTAATAATTCCTGTTGAATCAGATCATTTTTGACTTGTATGTGATTTATTATGATGTTTATTGATATAATATGTTTTCCTCCTTTTGATTTGTATTCATTTACCATTATGTACATTCTAGTTATGCCTTATGGGTAAGGATTTTCCAGGGTATTGTGAAATTTGTCTTCTATTAGTATCTGTTTACATAAAATTTTATACTGTGGATTGATTATTGATTTCTATAAGAAGAGTAAATTATTGATTTCTTTTGATGTTTACATTTCTGTTATATCCATATATGCTTGTGTGACTTCCATAGCTTAAAGGTGCTTACAGGTACATGCTGTGCTACTCTATTGAGAGGTAGGATTTGCTGTGGGTCTTTGCTGCTTGCTCTACCTACTTTATAGCATGAATGTTAGTAAATTCTGCCATTTTGTATTATTTGTTTGATTGTTATGATTATCTGTTTGAATTTCTCATGCTATCATAGCTTCGTGTGATATGGAAATAGGCATTTTGTTTATTTTATACCTGTTAGTCCTCGATGTCGTATACTGTTGATTGACTTGCTGTGCATAAAATCTCCAGAGCTTAGTGCTCGTTCATCTTGCAGTTATTAACTGTTTGCTTTCTGAAGTTTGTTTCTTTTGGCTTCTTTTGGGTATGATATACTGGTCGGGTACTGATTTTTCTAGTATATGAGCTGTATATACGTTTAAATCATTGGGGCATCAAGAAATGGTCATCTGTACGAATGATCATATATTTCAGTTTAGGTTTTCCAACTAAACATGGCCATTTGCAATAAAGAACTTAAAGCCCTCTTTCTGAAGCCTTATTTTACGATGTCCTTTCTGATTGGATGGAGTTATCACTTATGTTCATGTATTAACTGTGACAGAGGGCAGATGCATCAACTGACTGGAAGGAATTTACTAGTCCTGATGGGAGAAAGTAAGCAATCCTATATAATTTCCTTTGAACTATTCATTCATAAGCTTTGCAAGTCAAAATAGTTATTCATTCTGGTTCGATCTTATTTTTGAATGTTCTGCAGGTATTACTATAACAAAGTTACCAGGCAATCAAAATGGTCAATACCAGAAGAGTTAAAGGTTTTTTCCTGATGCTGACTTTTGAATTTGTCATTCCTTTTAATTTGAAATCTTTCATTTTCTTGAGTATTTTTAAAATGCTTCTCTTATCATTCCTTTTAATATTGGTTGAAAACTTTTATTTTTTTTGAGTATTGTTAAAATGCTTCTCTTATCATTCCTTTTAATATTTGTTGAAATCTTTCATTTTCTTGAGTATTTTTAAAATGCTTCTCTCTAGTTGGCCCGTGAACAAGCAGAAAAGCTTCCCATCAAAGGAACAATGTCAGAAGCATCTGCTAATTCCCAAGTACTAGCTTCTATTCCTTCCTCTGTGGTTCAAGCATCATCTAGTGTCGATACCTCTTCTTGCTCTGTTCAAGAGGTAGCATCCAGCCCAGTGGCTGTTGCACCAGTTGTTGCTGTTGGTGACATTCAACTTGCGACAGCATCTGGATCATTGGCATTAGCCATTGTAGCTTCTCCTGTCTTAGCCAATGAAGATGGAGTTCAGACGACTATAGATTCTATTGCACCAGTAACAGCTGCTTCTGGGAGTGAAGGAGTTTCTGTACCTGTCAATACAATTGTGGAAACAATGTAATCACCTTTGACTTGTTTTCTTTTGTTGTGATTATAGTTTTGCAATTGGCATGTCTAATGCCCTCTTACTTTCAAATGTTATAGGAATAATTCCAGCAACTCGTCAGCTCAGGATATTGTTACTTCTGCAAATGAAGGCCCTGCACAAGATAAAGAAGTATGTGCTTTTTTAAAAAAGAATTTTAAATGTCGTTAATATGCTTACCTATCAGTTATTACTACTGATATGCCGGATCATGAAGTTGATGACATTATGGTTTCCAGGAAACCAGGAATGATGTGGTGACAGGTGAAAAAGTTCATGATTCATTGGAAGAGAAGACAGTTGAGCAGGAGCACTTAACTTATGCCAACAAGCTGGTATGTTGTAATATTTGCTATATTCCAGTCTACTTTTGTTGCTTTCCTGGGTGTTGACATTATTGATGTTTTCTGCCTTTCAATATGTAAGGAGGCTAAGAATGCATTTAAAGCACTTTTGGAGTCTGCAAATGTTGGGTCTGACTGGACTTGGGATCAGGTAGTTTTCGGCATGTTGAAATTATTTTTTATATTTTTAAATCTATGTTTCTGAGTTGATGCCAAATGAAATAGGCAATGAGAGTAATAATTAACGACAAAAGATATGGTGCACTAAGAACACTTGGGGAGCGAAAGCAAGCTTTTAATGAGGTACATCTTTACACTAATATACTATTCAGTTGAGTCTGTTTCATATATGCTTCAAGTGTGTAATATATAATTTGCTTTTGGGTTATCTTTTGATACTTATTTGAGCAATAATATCTCTTCATTTAGCATGTTTTCATTATATTATTACTTGTATGCTTCAGTTCTTAGGTCAAAGGAAAAAACAGGAAGCTGAAGAAAGACGAAGTAAGCTGAAAAAAGCACGGGAAGATTATAAAATGATGTTGGAAGTAAGTTTTTTGCTGCTTGCATAGATCTCTTCCAACTGTATCAATAAATACAATCCCTCTCACAGACACATTCATTTTGGATCTGCTTGCAGGAGTCTCTAGAGCTGACATCATCTACAAGATGGAGGTTTATTTTTCACTGATAATGTCAATTTTTTATTTCAAGTTAATTTTTTGGCTATCGCTTGGATATACCATGGCCAATCTCATGTTAAGTTCTACTTGATTATTGATATGAACCACCTTTCAGCAAAGCAGCAACCATGTTTGAAAATGATGAGCGTTTCAAAGCTCTTGAGCGAGAAAGAGATCGCAGGGATCTGTTCGATAATCATTTGGAGGAACTCAAACAGAAGGTACTCTTCTCTTGATCTCATCTGTTTATGGTATTTGTATATTGTGAACATGTATATATCTTCTCCTCATCTTTCTCTTCTGATAGGAATATGAAAATGCTTCATTAAGCCATACGCTTTTCTTTCTAGTGATAGTCTCTTAAGTGTTTATGTAGATATCAATGATCTGAAGCGTATATATTTACTGTAACTAATTTTGTATGTTGGTTAGGAACGAGTAAAGGCACAGGAGGAGCGCAAGTGTAATGTAATAGAGTATAGGAAATTTTTGGAGTCATGTGACTTCATTAAGGTACCCTTTAGCAAGGCTGAATTTTGTCTTTTTAGCTTTAGCTTATCATCTACTTTTGAACTCTTACAAAATGGTTTATCTTCTCAGGCAAGCAGCCAGTGGCGAAAAGTTCAAGACCGCTTAGAGGCTGATGAAAGATGTTCACGTCTTGAGAAAATTGATCGACTGGAAATTTTTCAGGTAATTTACTTCATTTGACTATTAACATCTACATTTCTTCTTTGAACTAAGTTTGAGACTGTAACAGGAATATTTACGTGATTTAGAGAAGGAAGAGGAGGAACAAAGGAAAATACAAAAGGTGATTTTAATTATTGGCTATTGTGGTGGAGACTGATTTTATTTTATTTTATGTTTTTGAAGCGAATAGTTCCTTACTTCATTCTTTGTTCAAAACAGGAAGAACTGAGAAAGGCTGAGCGCAAAAATCGTGATGAGTTTCGCAAGTTGATGGAAGGCCATGTTGCTGATGGCACTCTTACAGCCAAATCTCATTGGCGTGATTATTGCATGAAGGTTATCAATACAATTGGATCTTATTTTGGAAAATAAATGTGCATGATTTTTGCTTAGTCAGAATATACTGTTTTATGTTTTGTGAACTGTTTTGTGATGCGTTCTTCAAATCACTGATGGATTTTAGGTTAAAGATTTGCCTGCATACATAGCAGTCGCATCAAATACCTCAGGCTCAACACCAAAGGATTTGTTTGAAGATGTTGCTGAAGAGTTGCAGAAACAGGTAGTTTACCTGGTGGCTTTGTTAATTTAAATTGAATATATATTATTTAATTATGTTATCATCACAAACAAAGGGAAAAAAAACAAATAAGGAAATAAAAAATAGAAAGAACCAAACATATTTAGAAGAAAAAAAAGGTAGAAGGTTGCTTAAGTTTTTGAGTTCATGGGTGGTCAAGGATTTGTTTTCCATGGTAATTCCATCCTCATGAGAGTAAGTGTTAGGCGCTTTTGGTTCCCACAGTTCCTATCCAAATCTTCCTTTGCAATTACCAAACACATAGACAAGGAGAAGACATGGGATTGTATTTTAATCCGATGTTGTATCACACACACCAAGCATGCCCTAAAGGAATTAAGTTTGCATCATTCTGTTTTCCTTCATAAACTTTTAGGTTTTGCTGGATGGGTTTATGTTCAATGTCATCAAATCTGTGTATTTTCTAAAATTTTTGAACTCTGTAGTCCATAATGCACAATATTTTTGTTTTAATTTTTTTCTTTAGTAGACATTGTTCTCCAATTAAATTTTCAGTCCACCCCCATTCTCTAGAAACCAAAATGTGAGTGCGAATAGAACTTAACCATGCTTTTAAGTTGTCATAGTGAGACTGTATAGGGATACAACATAAACTTTGTTTGATTAAAGCATCTATGAGGGTTCTAGCAACTCGGTCTCACAATTCAAAATTTTTTTTCATAGTTTATTTGTCTACACAAACTGTGATCTACTGATTATGCTGATATAACAGTTAGTTTTGTGAATTATGTTATGGTTGAATGGCTGACTTTGTGGTGCTTACAAGTTTTGAAATGTGCCAACTTATTTGTATTTACAGTATCAAGAGGACAAAACTAGAATGAAGGATGCAGTGAGGTTGAAAAGGGTATGATTAATCACATTTTATATTTATATAATACTCTAAATTTGCTTAGTTTTCTAATGTGCTGGTATTTTATAGATCACTTTGTTATCAACTTGGTCATTTGAAGATTTCAAGGCTTCTATTTTAGAGGATGTTACCTCTCCTCCTATATCAGATGTCAACTTAAAGGTATATTTATGCTCTTGGTAGTGGATTATGTTTGTATCATATGATAATTTACATTAAAAGGACATTTTGTAAACCTCTGCAATATTGATACTAGTATTTCTTTTTTTGTGCAATGGCTGTGATATCACAATTGTGAATTCTGGAAACTTAGAAATAATAGGACCATGGGGTGGTTAAGATTGTATGAATAACTGGAGGGAAGACATTAAATTTTTTATCAGAATAGTCCGGAGTCTAGAACTAGAATTGATTCCATTTAATTTTCTCAAGTTATGAATGAACATTGTGTGAATATCTAAAATGATGTTCAAAGTTCGAACTTGATGTAGTAGTGATTGATTCGGGCCTTTTTTCAATAATATATAAATTGTGGTAAGATAGAAGGCTAGTGCTTTGACTTATAATGGACAAATTTGTGGGGGATATGAAATAAGACCACTCTTTTGTGGAAAAACTGATATTTGTACAACAGTAAAATTAAAATTAAAATTAAAACTAAATTTCCTATCCTCTTCATAGGTATTCTTCCCTTCAAATGATGTAGAATGATAAAAACTTTGTAGTAATTTACAGTAATCTTAAGGTAAGTAGACCAATTAGTCAGATCACTTTTCACAAATTATTGTAAATTAATTTGTGATTTTGATTCTCTTTGCTTAACGAGAAAGTTAATAAAAAGAGGACAGCACTGGATTTGTTTTAATCAATTGGATAATTTATTGTTATCTCTTTATTATATCAATTTTAATGCCTATGATCCTAGGATATAATCATTACTTAGCTGAGAACCTAAGATTTCTTCCCTAGGATAATTTATAGTTATCTCTTTATTATATTCAATGGTGTGAAGCAATGCTCTACATTTCTGCAGCTGGTATTTGACGAGTTGTTGGAAAGAGTCAAGGAGAAGGAAGAGAAAGAAGCTAAGAAACGTAAACGTCTAGCAGATGAATTTTTTGATCTCCTACGTTCCATCAAGGTATACAACCTATCTCAACTAGCAATTCATGCTCCACTTAGGAATAAAAGTTTAAGAGTTAACGAGAATTTTATTCTTGCATCTATTGGACTGTGTACCTTATTGCAGGAGATATCTGTATCTTCAACATGGGAGAATTGCTTACAACTTTTTGAGAGTAGTCGAGAATTCAGGTAATTTTTTTCTTTTTTGGTCTGATACTATTTGTCATAATATCTGATGGTTGCACATTAATTCTGTGAGGCTACTTTCTTCATCCATGGATTTGTGAATCTTATACAGATCTGTGATGTTTTCTTGGATCCTTCTGGATATTTGTTTCCTGTTGGAAATTTTAGGATATGACATAGATGCCCTTACAAGCATGTCCACATCTTTACATTAATGCGTAGAAAAACCTTAATTTTTTTTCTTCTTTCATATTTGCTTGTTGCTAACTTTGGATATGACATGTTTTGCCTTTGTGTAAAAATTTCTAATGGTCTTTGCTCTTGACATGTTTATACCTTAAAAATTAATTCCGACTCTACTGTTCTTGACACAATGTCTATGGACCCATGTTATATTATGTATGTTGGGGATGAAGATTGGCTGGCTTATAGAGTTGATTCTTAAAACCATGTTTCATGATTCTTCTAACTTTCTTCGATTTGCAAAATGAGTTGCATCTATACACGAGAAATAGTTGCTTACAATGAAGTTGTCATTTTATTGAATGTTTTTATGTAGTTCAATTGGAGAAGAGAGCATTTGCAGGGGAATTTTTGATGAATATGTAGCACAGCTGAAAGAACAGGCCAAAGAAATTGAAGGGAAAAGAAAGGAAGAGAAGGTAAAAAATCAGTTTCTTGGCATAGATGTGTACATTTTTTGTAGACTAAAAAATTGTGCATTAGTTCCCTTTCCTTTGTTTTTTTTTTAAAAAGTCATTTGTCTTAGTTCAGGAAAAGTATTTGTCTGATTTGTGTACTTTAAATGTAACTGTTTCTGTAATTACCAATCTCGACAGAAATATAGTTCTTAGCACACATCAACAATCTTGCACTTCTTAATCTTATGACTGTCTTGTTAAATATATTATAGTTCGGCTGTAGCAGAAGTGCTATTTTACTGTGTGAAGAAGGGTGTAGCTTTCATTGTTGCTGTGAACTATGTCTTATGGATAAGATAGGTGACAGTAGTATTTTATCACGTGGAACACTGATGATTGCATGGCATATTATTGTTATAAGTTTATAAGGAGGCCAAGATTGAGGGCTGGAGAAAAGTATGGCAGTTCCAAATTCTACAAAAAAAATTTGGCCATAGATATAGTTAAGCTAATGGAAATGGATTTTGTGACTGATCTTCAGTTCAAATGTAGTTCTATTCCTAGTATATGGCATGGATATGAATTAATGGGTGATATTTGAAAGCGTATAACTATAATTCATTTCCAATTTTGTTTAGTGTGTATAAAATTTTTGGATATGAAGCCAAGCTTTTCATTCTTATATTCTGCAGGCAAGGAAGGAGAAAGAAAGAGAAGAAAGAGATAGGAGGAAAGTGAAGCATGGAAGGGAAAAAGAGAGAGGACGGGAAAGAGAAAAAGAGGATCACTTAAAGAAGGATGGAACAGACAATGAACATGTTGATTCTGAAATTCATTTCTTCAGTGAGAAAAAATCGGGAAAAGACAATGATAAGAAACACCGGAAGCGGCATCAAAGTTCTCAGGATAACTTGAATGAAAATGAAAAGGATCGATCTAAGAACTCTCATAGGCATAACAGCGATCGCAAAAAGTCAAGACGGGTATGCTGATTGTTCCATCTGTGTGAGTAATGTTTGAGACATCAAGTTTGTTTATTTAAACATGGATATAACAACATTTATCTTTTTGGCTTTACATGCCAGCATGCATCGACACCTGAGTCAGAAGATGAGAGCAGACATAAAAGACATAAGAGAGACCACCGTAGTGGTTCCCGCAAAATTGGCGATCATGAAGACCTTGAGGATGGGGAATTTGGTAGGGAGGGTGAAAGTCGGTAGTTATTTCATCCTGCCAATTTCTCATTATTTTTCATTTTTTGAAAGCCTTTTTAATGTAATCAATAGTTGAAAGATATTTGTTTGTGAATCATACTCAAGTACAAGACTTGCAGTATATCGTGGTCAGTAATTTGCAGTAGATTGTAGGTTAGGCAGCTAATATTCTGTCTAATAGTGATTTTTGGTTTTTAATAAATTATCTATAGATATATCTTATTACTTATAGAGCTTCTCATAATACTTTACGTTGAGTTCAATCTTGATTAGTATGAAATAGTTGTAGTGTTATACACAAATGATAATTGCTTATTCAGGAATCTCACTTGGTATTAATAAATTTGAATAAAGGTTTGTCGGAACAGTTGCAAGCCACTTGAACATAAATCAATCCTTGATTTAATTGTTTATAATAGAGGAATATAGACAAAATTTCATCTTTTATGTTCTTTCAGAAACTTCTTGTCTCATCTAGCTTGTCCATTTTGTTGATTTCTGTATTCTGCACTAGTGGGAAGAGGGGATAGAAAATTTGCAAAGGTATTTTAGGTGAGGTTTTGTTTACACAGAAGATTATTAGAAATGGCTTACATAAAATTGCTAATCATAATTTCTTTTGGGGGCATATGGTAGTAAAACGTTGATCTGATCGGTGTGTGCTGAGGGGGTCTATTGTAAATTTGCATATTCTATTTATTTAATAGTAGGTTTAATTAGAGAGCTGAGGTTGCAAGTTATATTGATTGGATGGGTGATGGTTGACATTGGATCTGAAATTTGTTTGACTGGCGGTTAGCAGCAGTCAGTACTTTCCTTTTTGTTTGTATGAGATTATTGGTCAGGATGATAATGTTATGTTTCAGAGACTTGCATCCAATCAACTTCTTACAGTTAAATTGCTTATAATGGCTAGAAGTATTCAAAAAGCTCGGGTGTAAATCAAAGTTTCTTTATTTGGATGCCTGTTCTTTATGATATTCTGTAAAATAATTGTGACAATAAGTACTTTTTTCTTAGTTTGCGCTACTAAGGAAAACAACAGGACAACAGGTCATCTACTTTATTGTGCGATGGCTAGTAATTTGAGTTGCATTTCTCTCCCTCGGGGAAAATTGGGTTATTTTATGGAACTGGGTATGTTTAAAGTTGGAGGGAATCAACAGTAATTTATTGTTTAAAGAGTGATTTTTTCTTGGAGTTTGTGGACATAGAAGATTTCAGTTGTCTCTGAAGACATGGAAAATCAAGTTGCCAAGATTAGAGGTAACATTGTCGTTCTTTTTCCTGGTTGCTCAGTATAATTAGTTTTAGCTGCTATTAGACATTTTATTTTAATTTTTCTCTATCTTTTCTCGGTACTCCTTTGCTCTATGGTTGCACTGTATCCCTTTGTCTTTCCCTTCTCAACTCAAACTCAGCCTTGCTAATTTTTTGACTTTAGAAGCAAATGTAGTGATTATTCCGTGCTATTGGCTATTGCCTTTTGTCTTTCTAATCAGGTCAACAACCTAACCTGTTTGAGATCCAACTGTAATCAGCTTTTTTTTTTTTTTTTATTTTGGTGGTGAAAATTATCTCCAGTGGAGAATCTGTAGATTTTCTTGTGAATTTATTTAATTTCATGGAGGGAATAAGGTCAATTTATGGCTTCAAGGCTCAGGCTTCAGCCTCAGCTTCCATGAATAAACTTCATGAGTTTATTTTCGTTGTCATCATCATCATCATCAGCAGCAGCACCTAATCAATATTATTGGTGAACAATGGTTGATAGTGCCTTTCTGCCAGCTACTTTTTACTTCTTTAGAAAAAGAAAAGATAAGAAAAATGGGTTTGGGAATGAGACTTTTCATTTGATATGATTATGTAGATGTTTTCTTCTTCCATTCACACTGTTTTTCCATGAATATTCCTATGATAAACCACGTCAACAAGGTTCATGTGTTAAATTTTACATGGTATATTACATATACAATATATATAATAAGCTTGTTTATGCACTTGGGAATGAAAATGATTTGACGGTTTGGAACTGTAAAGTGATATGCAAGGAACTCTTTGAATAGTGCTACACTTGGTTGTTTTAGGGATTGTTGTTGAGGTCAGTTCAACCCTTGGTGTGAAATCTAGGAACTGCACCATTAGTTCCCGTCTCTCAGTTGAGTAGTACCTCTGTTCAGAGAAAGTCAATTATTTGGCCAATAATCGCATCCATGATAGAATCTCCGATCCCTCTGCCTATTCCCTTTCAACTGGAAATGATTCTATTCTTCTTGGTGTACTTGAGATTACCAAATTTATCAGGCTGGCTGCATTCATAACATTTACTTGTTGCTTCCCCCATGAGTGGAGTTGCTCACTAATGATTCTTTCAACCTCTTCAACATTCGATAATGTGTAATGCCTTGGGTGTTCCATTCATTGTAACATGTTTTTCCTTTTTCCCTACAAAATCGAATGTCAACTGCTTGCTTTGTTGCAAAATCCTTTGCTTTTCTGTAAATCCTGCTTGAATGTGTTTTCCAGACCATGGTGATTTCCATTGAAGAGCTGTGAACTTTAACTTGGATAAGAATAAGGCTGAAAGTTGAAGGTCCTGTTTCATGAAATACCACCACAGGTTATTGCTATTTATAATTGATTGTTCACTGAAGTATGAAATCTATTGTATGTTTTGTGTAATTAAATGTTTCTTTTAACAAAGTTGGTGAACCTCTGTTGGATGTTGAATCTTTTAATACTATGACTAGGCTCAGTTGCTTGTCATCATCCATGCAGCCCCGTTACTAGTGTATATCTGTTGTAGGCTGTTAGCTTTGTAAGTGAACTTCAAAAAAGACGACATCAAACTACAGAGATATTGAGTTTAGTCAACCAAGGAAGTAGAGTTTGAAAAACCATTAGAGGATTATAGTTCATATATACATGTTTTCTTACCTTTTTGTTGTCTTCAAAATGTCTAACAATTAATGCTGAGAAGTTTCTATGCAAAGTGAACCATTTTGAGGCTCACAGGATGGATTAGCTTCTGGAGCTCCACAATCTGAAGAAGTGCTCAATGCAGTTACGTTGCTTACTGTAGAAAACCAATTTGTTTCTGCAATCTGCTGGATCATATCCATTGTCTCAGAAATAAGTTTATCTTTTACAGCTTTATTGCAAGTTGAGAGCTCCTGCTTGTCATTTGGTGTAATGAGTTTGTGTAGCATCCACTTCAGGGTCCTCGGAGTGTGTAAAGTCCTCTTCTTGTTCAGTTCATGACTGCATGGTTCTTTCAGGTTTTCTGTGGAAGTGGTGAGGCAGTAACAATTTCCTTCATTGGAGCTGCTCGATTGTTTCCTGGAATATGTTCTTTCCAAAAGGTACGTGCTTAATTTAAAAGGCTCTTGTTTCTCTTGGAGATACTCCTTGAGCTGTTTTACAAGTATTGGCTTAGATGCAGAAGTAGCCATTGAACCTAACTTGGTGCCTTTAGAACCGAGCTAAAAAAAGATAGGAATAAATAGACAGGAGAATAAGCTGGAAGATTAGAAAATTAGTTACAGTATAAAAAAATTAGAATCGACAGTGTGGCTGTCACTTTTGAGACATAATTAGTAGATGGAGCTAGCTTAGCTAAAAGGAGTTGGTGGAACCTTTTAAAGGAGCTTCTGCTATAATTAGGAAGTAGTGGAACGCAATCTTGTAATGGATTGGGGACACCCCAAAAGTTAAAACTAGGCAATCTTGTCATTGATTGATGACACCAAATTGTCAAATAAAATAGAATATAGAAATTGTTTTGAAATTCAATACCCTCGTATGCCTCTCTTCATATCACATTACATTAGTAATATATAAACCCTCTTTAACTTCTGTCGTGTATTGAAAGTTGTCCAACAACAACACAAACGTCAAAGTATATACATGGATTTTTGCTTTTACTTGTCTGCCTGCAAATGATTCTTATTGAATATTTTAATGGTAAATACGCGTATTTATCTCTGAAGCATGTACCTAAATGACTCTTCTTTGTCCTTTCCTTTGGACCCATATATTTATAGAAATGATTTGTTTAAATTTTTTATTGTAGAATTTTATTCATCATGTGGGTGGGGCTTGGTGTAAGTTCCTTGTTTATTTGGGTAAAATAGGTGTGGGACAATGAAGGGACATCTTTTGGGATGTAATTACTAATTACATTCCCTTATAACATGTAAAGAAAGTTTCAAAGTTTTTTAGGAGCTGGCGTTGGCGATCTGTTACTTTTAGAGAGGCCGTGCTAGCCAGGTACAAGATATCATAATCTGTGTTTTAATAACCCACCCTGGGTCCTGGATTGACGAGTTAAACGTTGTCCAAAAGTTTGAAATAAAACAAAAACACATGAAAATTACTATAAGTCTTTACAGGTTTGAAATCTTGCAAAACCACCTCAAACACCACTATCGATGTTGACAAACCGGGGCAAATCAGGCCTATTTTTTGTGACGACAACACTCCACATCACCATGAAAGCACTTCCTTTAGCCTTTTGACCAAAACCCATATCACCCCTCCTCTGATGAGCTGTTGTTGCCAATTTAGTTTTGTGATTTTTGATCGATTCACTCACCAGAAATCACCTCTGTTGTCACCATTGCATTCATTGACCATTCCTCTTTAAAAGCTCTAACATCATAGCCTTCAATTGTTCGTCGATCACCGTCTTAATTTTTAAGGTTTTTAGTGAATAAGAAAATTGCTAACACAGCCTGGTGAAGGCATGGGTCGTACTTGAACTGGTTTAACCAATTGGGTCGGGTGGGGTTTTAAAACATTGACCATAATCACTGCTTGGACTCTTAGGATCCCAATGATATAAGCTTATTCGAGTAGAGTTTATAAAAATTTTGTTAGTTATTTAATTAGGGAAATATAAAAGAGATTTCTATTATTAATTTACTAAAAAAGTTTTAATGTACATGAATAGATCAAATTAAAATTATAAATTTGAATAGTGATATTTTTGATATCTCAACATCTTTAAATTTACTCTAAAAAGTAAAAGGAGCTCATGGAAGCTGTAAAATGGATTTGAATAAACTGTTTCAGTCAGTATATAAGTTCAACCAAACAGAGTTTTAGACATAAAACTCATTAATCACAAGGACCCAATTACAAGAATGAAACTCCAACTGACCAACATCCCCAAGCAAGTGAAAGTAAAGAGTTTAGCCACCGACTAGCAAAGTAATGTCAAATTTTATAGACTAAATCGGATTGAGTAAGTCAGGAACCATTGTTTTAAAAACTGGATCGGAGGGCAACCCGCTCTGATGGCCGGGTCACGGTTCAACCGGTTGGACTGTCGGTTGGACCGGTGATATCATCATACATCATAATGACGTCAGCACATTTTAAAAAAAATAAATTTTTTTTTTAGATTTCTATTTTTTCAATAAGACAATAACAATTTAATTACTGTCCAATATGACTCAAAGTTCAAATTCAACAATAATCTTAACATAATTTAACAACAATTTAAAATCTAAATCCAAACATGATGTATTTACATATTAAATGACAAAATACATAATAATTAAAAATTAATAACAAAACATTTGATGCAAGTGTTTTTTCTTTGATCCATCTTCATGTTGATTGAGTTTCACACACTAGCATCAAAATTTATCACCATCAAAACCATCACCACCATCTACAAAAATTTCAGTAAAAAATAGAAATCATAAGTTAAAACTTGTAATTTAATTTAAATAGATACTAAGTTTTAATCTTTTTCAAGATCATCTGTGAGTAAACTTTTTGGTATAATCAAAAGATCAAATACAAAATACATTGTTAATTGTTTTTATATGGCATATAAATGTAACATAAAACAAAACTTGTCGTCACTCACAACCACAGCCACGAAAGAATATGATTACTACAGTGCTAGTACCAACTATTAGGTTTGAATGTGATAGAAAGTTATGCTCACAACCACAGCCACGAAAGAATGACTTAAAATGGAGTATGCCAGCCTAATCTGCAGATATCCTATCTTGTTTAATCAGGTTTTGCAAAACTATATATGAATTGTAAACCCCGTGTTATTATTTCGATGCACTAAGGTATGAAATTTACCTTTTCAAGTAATTTTCTTTTCTTGAATGGAAGGGTAAAATGGTCAATTTACATGTATTTCGAGATGTGGCCATTATAAAGTGTAAGGAATGATGTCATTGAAGAGAAATGAGGGTAGAATGGTCATAAAGTTGATTGATATGGTTAAATGACGTAAACGGTAACCAAGGGTATAATGGTCTTTGAATACAAATTCATATGAATAAGTATCCATAAAGTGCACTAAGGGTAAGTTAGTCATTTACCTAATGGGATTGCTAATTGTGTATTTTTAAGAAGTCAAATGGCATTAAATGAGTGCTTATCTTATCTGTGGTAGAATGACCAAAACGCCCTTATATGGAAAATTTATGCCAAAGACCATAGTCTAACTTTTATTGACCAATTACATAGAGTAACAATTGAATGAATATTTACAAGGTTTTAAAGAGAGTAGTCAGCCTTGTACCCCCAATATATCATCTTCTTCTTCATCTCTCAAATCCACCATAAAAGCCACTAATCCAAGCTTTTATTCTCAAATTTTCTTAGGATTTCAGTTGATTTTCAAAGGAGCTCACCATCTCCTTAAAGAACTTCAATTTCAGGGTTAAAGGTGTTTTCAAAACCCTAGTTTTTCTGAATTTTTTAGTTAAAAGGGAAATTCATAAGTGGTTATGTGTGTAAGGTAGAAAGGTGAAACTTTGGAGCCAAGGAGGAGGACCTTTGTGCTGATACTAAGGTAAGGAAAAAAATCTCCCTATGACTACAATTGATACACCTAGGGTTATGAAACATACATTATTATGTTAATATGAGTGTGATGCTATGTTTGGTATGAGTTGTTTAAATGGGTGTGTTGATTGGTGTATTGTGCATATGGAGGATGATTATGCCAATTAAGAGATTTTGAGTTGGAGGATGTTTTGGCACTTTTTGGTTCTGTAAAAAGGGAGGTTTATGGCCTTTATACTTAGAATGATATGGCAAATGATTTGAATGTGCAAAGGAAGGTGACATGGTTGAAATGAATAGAATTCGGATTAGCCTTTTAAGACTTATACTGTACATGCTCACGGAATCAGTCAAACTGAAGTTATAGAAGTCCGATTGAGTTGATTCTTGAAGTGTTAAAAATTTGAGAACATACCTAAAACTTTTATGTTTTATCCAAGAACCATTCGATTGGAAGATAAGGTAAAAATTGCTTGAAAAGGGACGAACTATATGGCACAAACTTCTTAATGGAATTCCCATTTGTTTCTAATTCTAATAAACCCCTGAATAAACTTAATACCAAAATTCCTTGTATTGTATGATAAATTGAATGAATTAAGTTAAGAAGTTTAGTAGGAGAATAGTATGATTGAGCATGGGAGATGTTAGTCCATATGTTTGCATTCATAATGGTAATGCATAAGCTATTTAGTTGTCTTATGAAATTATAAAATGTTAAAGAATGAATCCATGAGTCTCTTGAGGTATAAACCAAGATCAGAGGAATGGAATTCTTATGGAAACCATAAGTCCTTTGAGGTGACGACCAAGAACAAGGTAATGGTTCAAATGAATCCGATCGGATAACAAAGACTATGAAATCGTCAAGTATAAGACAAAACAAATAAGCATGTCATGTACATGAATATTTCATAAGTCATTTATGTTCTATGTTATATTGTATGGTTATGTATGACTTATGTTTATGAGAAAAGTCCAAAGTGTATGATATGTTTATGCATTTGTATGTCAAGAGAATGTCATGTTTTGTAGGTAGGTAAGGTCCCAAGAATATACTTGTATAATAAACTTAATAGTTTATAAATGGCCATATTCCTTACTGAGCGATTAGGCTCACCCCACGAAAGTTTTAAAATGTTTTGCGTATGAATTAAGGCATGAAGCTGGGAGAGGATTCCGAGGGACGCTATGATCATGAGGGGAGTTTTAATTATGACTTTTGAATGGTTTTGCTAGTATTATAGTGTAGTAATTATGTTTATATCTCATAATGTAGTAACACGTCCATGTTATAATGGAATATATATTGTTTGTGTTTATAAAGGAAATCAAATTGCTAGTAAATTTTATAAAAGTGGTTGTTCTAGTAAGTATTACTATGGATTTATAATTACTCCAAGAATGAAACATATTTTTTGATTATACAATGAACTTATTATAGTGAAGAAAAAAAAAAAATTAAAACATATATCTTATATGTTTTAAACTACAAGTTATTCTTAAATAGGATTTTAAAATAAATTCTTTTCTAGGCGTGCGTTTCTAGGTTCTCTGGCAAGGGATACTTAGGAAATACCGGCTAGGGAGGGGTTTTACATGAATGGTTTTTTAGACCTGAAAATCTATATAGCTAAAAAACTGCCCAATCTGCCACGCCTCAGAATGCGAAAAAACTATCATAACAACTATCAGCTAAGGGAATCTTTTATGACCTAAAATCTATACTAACTAATCCAATACTTAATCAACTACAGTCTCTCAGCAAAAGCAATTTCATCTTTGTTTAAACTCTTGGTCCTGTATCAGCATTTTCAAAAAAAATTTGCAAACTGTACATCCAATCAGTGGTAGAGCATTGGACTTTCTGTGTGGAATCAATCAAGGACTGATTTTAACATCAATATCGTTTTTACAGAAATTAAAAGATCAACACTATAATAACATTGTTAATTTTCACTTAATTCTATTACTCCATCATTTACGTTTAAAAGATCTAAGTTGTAGTAGTCAACACAAAAGTTATATAAAGGTTTTAAAACTTAATAGACCTCATCATTTTTACCATATATAAATTGGAATAAATTCCCTGCATTTTTTAGCGCAAATAT